TTAGGATCCTCCTTGTTAGCTGGCTTCTCTGGAGCTGTGGGTTGTGGTCTGGTTATCTAAAGCAAGCATTTTGATTGATGTGCATGGGCTGTTGCCCCCTAAGATGGGGTTCAAGAATTCAGCATTGGATGTGAGGAAGACAAGGTTTTTATAGAGCTCATGTGTAGGGGATTTACAAATGGGGGAAACAGGCTGGGTTACAGGATCAGAGCATAACGTGTGGTCAAAACAAGGTAATCACAACAGGTAGTCATAACAAGGTAATCATAGATGGTCATGTGACCTTTTAAAACAGAGTTGCAAGATGGTTATAAACAACTTTTTAAAACAAAGACACAGTTACTATTCCTGGAACAGGTAGTATAGAACCATTTCTACTTATAGTTACAAATGAGACATAAACCGATCTTTGAAAAGCAGAGGTTTAATCATAAAAGATACTGAACCTAGTTTTCTTTACTGTCAGTTGGCTTGGAAGTTTAAGACAGATGCAGGCTGGTTCTTCATTAGCAATAAAAGTGTGAAGATGGGTGAGAATTCAAACTTAGGATACCTGCAGAGGATTCACACTGACTGTCAGCTTGAATGTCATCTGAAAGAAAACCACACTGAATGAAGCATTGCTGTGGGAAAAGTACCAAGAGTGACACACCATTATCATGCAAAACCCTGCAAGGCTGCATGGATCTGCCTATGCTTCAGTTATACAATCACAAAATCCAAGCTGGCAACTTTGATGTTGGTAGCTGTGTTGGGGATTGGTCCTTAATGGAGAGAATAAAAATATTTACAGGTAGGCAGATCAGTTAGGATGGGATGGTAGAGGCTGATATGTGAGGCATGATAGGATTATAGTTCAGTTATGCACTCACACAACACAAGCTGATACTACTTGATGTTGCAACCTATGATGAGAGTTGGTACATAAAAGAGGGAAGAGTAATTTGGACACAGGTAGATCTAAAAGGATGGGATGGGAGAGACTGATAAGAGAGTTGAAATGGGGCAGATGCCAAGAAACATCTTAGTGGGCATCCGGACTCAAAGGTTTCCAGTGTGAAACTTGATTGCCTTATACATACTGGAAGTCACAAGGTCTGCTCAACATTTTTATAGGCCTCACCTGGGTCAGAAATATTTATTCAGCTCCTGAAGGCAAATCCCAATTCCAGAACAAAGAAGCAGAGTCTAGAACCAATCTGTGAAAGGACCTTCTTCATCCTTGGACAGCTCTCCACCTCTAAACCTGAAAATGGAAGTAAGGTAAGGATATATTCCAAGAATTTTCAGAGAGTTACTGTCTTGGAGTTTTCACTATATCAGCATTTCTGTGTTACTACCACAAAATGCAATATGTAGGGTCCAGAGCTTCCTCCTGGGAAGGCATAAGACAGAAGCTTACTTTTGAAGCAAGGATATGGACTGTCTTAAAGAGACTTTTCTTACTTTCCCCCAAATCATTCATATTCATATCTGTTATTTCTTACAGGAGGAAGGTTATGTGAATATTTTGTTTTCCAGGGCAAAACTTGGTTCAACAGGTTCATTCATTGTTTGATGTTTCTCAAAGCTGATCTGTAATGCTTGTATGTTGCATTCAAGAAAAAACAGATGGTTAGAATTTGAATAACTGATGAATACTACAGGAAGTGTTTATTTACAAAGACCACAGGTCTTAGGGATAGAGGAAAAACAGAGAATAACTAAAAAGCAAGAGAGTGAAGGAAGTTGTCCACTGCTTGGCTCCAATAATCAGCAGAAGGAATTGGTACTGGAGAATGAGAGAGGGAATGAGGAAGGAGGAAGGCAAGTCATAGTTATAGATCAGTAGTAGTAGGGGATAACTAGATGCACAAAGAAGCATTGCTGTTGTCAACACACACCTGACCAAGAGAAATACAATTAGAAAATATCTTGACTTTTACTCTCTAATGTCCTTGGAAATGTCACCATCTGCCTCAAATAAAAAGAAATTTAGAGGACAGCTCTTAGGGGTGAGACAAGGCACTTCTGTGAGATGTCATGGAGCAGAGAGGAAGATGGAAGGAAATACTTTGTCACTTGCAAGTCTTCTTCCACCCTGAGGCTTCTGTCATCAGTGAAAACTCTCCATCTTCTACTATCTTCTAGCACAGACTATGGAGAAGGCTCCTGTTATGTTAGGTTTTTCTTTCTCATTTACTGCACTCCATCTAGCAGTCCTCCATTAGACATGCCTGTTTCAGGTCCCTCTCTGCAGCAGCACACAGGCCTCACCTCTCCTTCCATCTTCCTCCTTCCTCTGCTGAGCAATCATGTCAGAACCATATCCATCTCCAGTCTCTGCACCTAAGTGTGTCCTGCTGCTCAACTAAGCTGTGTTGGGTCTTTGTTTCAATGACCTGCCCATGATCAGAGCCAATGATTTGTCCATGCATGAATAATTGTGAATATACTCAGGGATGTTGACAAAAACAGTTAGGAATGTTGAGACTTTCTTTATCACTTTGTCAGTGCTGGTCAATGATCATTGTCACTTTTGCCTTTTATAATTTATATGTGATTCACCATCTGATGCAGTAGAGATTTGCATGTGTGCATTCATTCATGAATATACAATGTCGAGGTCTCACACAATCTGAGATGAGACTATAAATACATTCCATCTTCACTGTCTGATACACTGAGACATTTCTCAGCTACATGTTTTTTAAATAAGGGATAAAGAAAATTTTTACCCCTTAAATTTTAAATTCGTATGATTATCATTCTCTTGACTTATTACTTTTATGAAGATTTCAAGCACAATGTTGAATATAACAAGTGGTCGTACGTGTTTCATATTTGTGAAAAATTTTTGTATTGTCCCAATTCAAAGAGCTGTTGGCTATCTCTTTGTGTTATATTGCTTTTACCATGTTAGGCTATCATATTTTTTACCCAAGTTTCTTCACAGATTGTCACCCTGGGTGCCATTCAGTTTTGTCACTTCATTTGGTACATATTTTGAAATGATCAATTTTGCTTCATATTTATGCTCTTTATTACATTATATGCTCTTTATTACATTTATTAATTAATTAAGCCATGTTTAACCACTCTTGCATTTTGGAATAAAATTGACTAAATCATTGTGAATACTATTGATATTTTAATGTCATTTTTTCAGTATTATACATAAAACAATTCATTTTGATCATATTCACCCACTGTCACCCTCTCTAAGCAATGACCAAATCTGTTGATATTTTTCTTCCTCCCAACCAGTCTATTTTTTACTTTCATGTCATTTTTTAAAATTTATTTACTTATTATGTATAGTGTTCTGCCTTCATGTATGTCTGCATGCCAGAAGAAGACAACAGATCTCATTATAGATGGTTATTAGTCACCATGTGGCTGCTAGGAATTGAACTGAGGACCTCTGGAAGAGCAGCCACTGCTCCTAACCACTGAGCCATTTATCCAGCCCTCATGTCAGTTTTTAATGATCCACTGACTGTTCAATCTTTATGAAATTGTATGTTATTTTATTGTTTCTTTGTTGACCACTTTTTTTACATTTAACATAATTTCTTGATTTTATCTTTGGGAATTTCACATCATACACCCTAATTCACTCACATATTTTTGGGTCGGCTGCTTACCTAGGACCAATCTGATTATTTTAAGCTGTCGATGCCCTAAGATTGTTCCATGGATAAAAACTTTGTGCTCCTATAGAGTGATCAAGGCTCCAAGAATGAATGGTATGTTCTTGGTTAACACAACTGAGTTTTTTGGGTGATTTTCTTCAAAGCCCTTGTGTGAGGTTAGTTTGTAAGGTCTTCTGGGGGCTTTCTCTGAGCCTAGAGCTCTGCTTGGCATTCCCAGATGATTTTTCCTTTATGAAGGCTTCTGTCTAGAATAAGAAGTTATCCAGAAGGATCTTGTGATGCAAAGCTTTCTATATGGGTACTGTTCATGCTAAGCTACTGCAAGCATAGGAACAGTTCGCATTTTGCACTCTTGGCCAGTAAGGGAAAGAAAAGCTATCTTCTCTTCAAATATCTTTGTGGCTTCATGGGTAGGAAATAGAGGCCTATTAAGGATGTCTGTATGGGGAAGTGGAGTGGAAAGAAATCTCTGAATGATGCTACCTGCCCAGCTATGCTGCTCTCTTTTCCAGACTATTTGCATCCATGTACAGATCTCAAAGCTCTTCTCAGGTTTTGGGACACTATTCCCAAGTGGAGGTGCTCTCTAGCTTCCTCTGCAGCACAGCTCACGATTTTCATGTCAGAGACCTGTGCCTTTGCATGTAGGTACAAGTCACAAGTAAAACAACATTTACTCCAAATTTTCAACTACCCTTGAACTTATGGTTCAATTGCTAATTTGTTATAGTTCGTAACTCTCCCCTGTAATCCTGTAGAGAACAGGACACTGGTGACATAATCACAAACAGAAAAAAGCTTGATGTCCTCCAAGGTTTTTCTGACTTCTGGTTTTCAAATTTTAAAATGAAGACTCAGCCATTCTAGCATAAGAAGTGTGACTGTTCTCACACAGGTCTTCATAAGAAATCCCATTCCCTTCATGACTCTCATTCATTATTCTATTTTCCTCATTTGGTAGACTCCTTACAGTGACTGAGGGCAGCTATGGCTTGTGCCAGGATCTCCCATATTCTTACACAAGAGAAGGAACCTCAGCCCTGGAACAGAAAGAAAGTTAGTTTCAGAATTCTGTCTCTTCCTGACACAGCATAAGATGCTTAGCAACTGGACTGGGACCATCAACTACCCCAACATCACTAGAGGCATTGATCTGCAGATAGACTGAATAGTACAAACTAGATTTAAAAGAAGTTTCTAGCACTGGGTGGGTTTGATAAATTACTTACTCTCTGCAAGCCTGTCCCTCCACCCCTTATGAACTTGTGCCAGACATTCCCACATAGCCAGGTGGTCTTGACAGAAAGTTTCATGAGTTCGTATCTTAATTTACTTTTCAGGAACACCAGTGGAACATTCTCAAGCATGGGTCCATCCACCCCAGCCTGGAGCACTGACAACACAACAATGAATGGAAGTTACTACAGTGAAAGCTTACACTGTGACACCATGTACAAAATCATCAGTATTCTTACTGTCATCATTGCTGTAGTAGGGCTGGCAGGAAATGCCATAGTGCTGTGGATTCAGGCCTTCCACATGCAAGAGAATGAATTCTCTGTATATATCTTCAACCTTGCAGGGGCTGACTTCCTCTACCTTTGCTTTCAGGCAATGTATACCCTGGAGCATATCCTTCTTCTGTTCCATACCTCCTACTTCAAAATTCCCATCTCTCTCATCAATGTATTAATCTTTGCTTACCTTGCAGGTTTATGTATGATTGCAGCCATCAGTGTTGAGCATTGTCTGTCAGTTTTGTGGCCCATCTTGTATCAGCGCCAACGACCAAGATACAAGTCATCTGTCCTGTGTACACTGCTCTGGGCCTTTTCTCTATTGTTAAGCCTCCTGTCAGGGTATGGTTGTGGCTTACTATTTAGTTATTATGACCATTCTTCCTGTAGGACTTATAATTTTATCACTGCTGCATTTGTAATACTATTATCTGTGGTTTCTTGTGGATGCAGCCTGGCCCTGTTGGTCAGGATCTTCTGTGGCTCACAGAGGATTCCTTTGACCAGTGTGTATGTGACCATTTCACTCACAGTGCTAGTCTTATTACTCTTTGGTTTGCCCTTTGGTATCTGGTGTTTCCTCTTAGCTTGGATTGCAGAGTTGCATAGAGTTTTCCCTTGCAATGTTTATGCAATGACAACTTTCCTATCCTGTGTTAACAGTTGTGCCAAGCCCATCATTTACTTCTTTGTTAGCTCCATTAGGTCTTGCAGGTTCCAGAAGCAGACTCCAAACATTCATCTGCAGAGAGTCATGCAGGATACTCCTGAGGAAGAAGACAGAGAGAGGGCTTCTTCAGGAAATCATGGAGAGCAGGAATCAGTCTGATGTAGTAGTAGTTGAGTAAGTCCTTGATCAGACACAGTTGTTTCAAGTATCACCTAGGCCTTTATCTGTGTGGGCCATTTTCACAACCTTGTTCAATTGATTGTGAAAATAGTCATTTTCTAGAAATTGGGTGAAATGGGGCTTATTAAATAGAAACAGATTGTACACCATAAAGCTGCCTTATATCGGCCTCACTGCATCCCTATGTGATGTAAACTTTTTAATCAAATCACTTGAGGCCAGGGCAGCTCCCATTATAGACAAACCCTCCACAGAAAGCCCAAGGCAGCACAGGGAAGGTCTGGGTTTCTTTGGATATTTAACTTGATAAAGATTAAATGAATACTATAATTAACAGAAATGTTCTTATTTTTTTACAAGTTGTTTTCTAAACATTGTGATAAAGTAATTGAAATTTCCACAATTCCTGTTTCCTTCTGTAGCCTCACATTTTAGAATATATGAATGATTCAAAATGTTCCTTACATAAATTGCTTAGTAAATGAATATGTACCTTTAAGACTTCATATTATAAATCTCCGTTTACCCATTTGAGTCTTGAATTTCAAGTATCTGCCATCTACAGCTTTGAAAGAATAAGGTCAGGTTTTATACATCATTTTCCAAGCACATTTGAAGGTGGAGAGAGACTGTAGACTGTCTCCAGTTTCTCCATTTCCCAGTGCTTTGGTTAGCATTCCATGGTCATGTCTTCCCTCTTCTTCCCTTATGTTTGCCCTGACTCTCTCTCTGTGACTGTCTAACCCCTCATGAAAAAATTTCCAGTGAGTGTCATTGAACTTATTTCCTCTTGAACTGAATTTCTGTCAGATTACATTATTTCCAGGAGTGCATAGCATCCATAACTTAATTATGAAGGTTTACATTTTCTTTTAAAAATGATTCATGAGTATTGAAGGTTGGTAGGACAGTTTAATTGTTCCCTTCCCTTGGCAGTTTGTATAGTATTTTCCAGAACCATGGAAGCCATACTCCAGGAAAGAGACCAGCTTAAGCTCAAATCATTTGAGTCCTTTGTCCTAAATGTGAGGTGTCTTCAGCAATAGAGGCCTACCCTCAACCACTAAGAAATGAGCAATGGTTATGTTTGGGAGTCACAGTTACTACCCTGACCAACCATACAAAAAGAGGTTTCTCATGCTTGGAACTGGTTCTGTGGGGATTATTGTCAGCCCAAATGGCTTAACTTCTTTAAGATGTTTGTATGGATATATATAGAGAGATAGATAAATAGATAGATAGATAGATATAGAGAGAGTAGAGAGTGTGTGTATATACATGAATATACATGTATAAATATTCATGTATTTTATATAGTTTCATATATACTATACAATATATACACATATATTTTCATATATACACTTTTCATATATGTACATATATACTCATGTATTATGTATAATTTTAAGGAAATATATAAAATAATGTGATTCCTTAAGGCCTTTATAAAACAGTCTTCCTATTTTTTGTTCCATGTCCCTCCTCTTCCTTCTGTATTGACCTTCCACCCTCTACCCCATTCAGATCCCCTCCCCACTATTCCAATTCCTACTTCATATCATCTCTATCCTACTATTCCCTCCCAAGCCCCTCAACATATGGTCTCTTTATACTCTTCTGGTTTGTGGTTATTCCATATTGTATATGCACATCTGAGAATTTGGAGCTAGGAACTACAGATAAGAGAGACTGAGTGGTATTTATGGACAGGACTCCATTTGCTAGGGATTTGAGCCAAACAATTGATAAGTGGGTCTTCATAAAATTAAAAAACTTCTGCACAGCTAAAGAAGCAACCAGGAAATGGAAAAAAAAACTATAGAATGGGAGATAATCTTTGCCAGTTATACACCTGACAGAGGATTATATGCAGATTATATAAAGATTTCAAAAATAAAGAGTCTAAATACTAAATTACCATTTGAAAAGTGGGAGTGGGACCTAAATAGAGAATTCTCAAGAGAACAAATGAAAATTGCTAATAAAATCTTGAAAGGTCCTTATCATCCTAAGCAAGAGAAGAATGAAAACTAAAACAACTTGACATTTCATGGTACCCTAGGCAGAACACTTAAAATGAGCAACAAAAAACCCCTGACAACAAATGCTGTCCAGGTTGTGGAGAAAGCAGACTCCTCATTCATTCTGGGTAGAAATGTGAACTGGTGTAGCCACTCTGTAAAACAGGATGGAGAATATTCAAAGACTAAAAATGTATCAACTATATGCCTATTTATACTACTCATTGGCATATGACCAAAGAACTGAGCATCCTAGTCCACAGATACTTGTTCACCAGTGTTCATTGACACCTTCTTCACAGAAGCCAGGAAATAGAAACAGGAGAAATGACTTCCACTGGACGAATGGATAATGAAAATGTTGTACATATACATGATGGAATACTATTCAGCTCTAAACAAAAAAGAAATCATGAGATTCATAGATAAAAGACTAAACCTAGAAAATATCTTGAATGAGATAACATTTTCTGTAAAATAATATTTCATTCTTAAATGCTGCTGCATTTGATGATTTTAAGTATAATTAAGAAAAAGTAATATGCATAGAATAAAGAAATGCATAGTTCAATAAATTTGCTTGGATAAATATAACTACTTGACTCAAAACCCAATCAAGACACAAAATACTTCCTTGCCTTTGTGAGTTCCCTCTGTTCCTCTAGTCATAACTCTGCCTTCACGGTCAGTATTGTCTATATTTGCATTTTAATGGAAAATTGAGAATACAAACTAAGAATTTGTCATTATGTTGTGTTATATGTGATAAAATGGTTGTTAAAATTGAATACACTAACATATAGGTATATTTACACACACACACACACACACACAGTAAATTTTCTTTCTTTCAATATAGTAAAAGTTGCTTTATGAGAAAGTTCTGAATGCAATGCATTATTACCGCATAGAGATCTTGTGGTGTAGATTATTTTATTTCATCTTATATATTTGTTACTTATATATATATATATATATATTTGTATCTTATATATATTTTCACATTTTTCCATTTTCTGTTAACACAAAGTTTTAGTAACCACCAACATATTATGCAGTCTGTCTGTATGTATTGACATTTTAAAATAAATTCCATATGTAAATGAGGGTTTGGAACAGTTTTCTCCTTATATTGATCTTACTTCCAGTTGAGTTAAATGGTAACTCCATTTAAATTAAAACTCCATTAATATATGTATCTATTTTAGGAAGTAGTGGGTTTCTATACAGCTTTTCATAAGGCCTATAGTGTTATACTTAACCTTACCCCAATTTCATCCTCTATCCTGCCTTACTATTGAACTTAAGCTTTGAAACAGTGTTGGAAATGTAAGTATTTTGTGAGTCTTGAAGATGGACTATCTGAGTTTTACATTATGAAATGTGCATGACACTTTGAGATAGAGTGCAGAATGTCAAAAATCTTCATAGGGTTCTGCTTTAAATGTTTTTTTATTATTATCCAGCTGGTGGTTAATTATACAAACTTTAGTGCATAACTGTTGGGCAGAAGTCCACCATATTTTATCCAAGGAAAAGAACTCTGCACTTTTGACAGTTGAGGAATAATGTGCTGTGTATCTGTCTCAGTTTCACAATCCATTTATCTGTTGTATCATGGCTATATCTCCCAATGACTATATGTACTGAATCCTGTAACTAATGTCCCAATAAACATACAACACTTTCTTTTACTAGTGGCAGACAAGTCTTTGTCAATTATTTTATTTTAATCTCATATTTCTTTATTTCATAGTGGGATTCTGGTAACAATATGAATTTAAGGTGTTTTTGTTTTCTTTCTACTGAAATTCAGTTCTCCAAGTCACTCTGTTTCAATTATCATGTGATATGAAGAGAGAATAGATTATTGTCTCTTATGGTTTGAGTGCTTGATAAATGGCTTAATGGCTCTACACATCTATATGAATTATAATAGAGGTGAGGATACATGGAAGAGGAGGACAGCTCACATGAAGAAAAAAGAAAACAAAATGTGACAGGAAAAGACCAGAAATATGTATTGAAGGACACTTTTTCATAGTCTATCACTGAGATAATTCATGGTAGGAACTCAAGCAAGAACTAAAATAATTATGGGATGGACACTGCAGGCTGGCTTCCCTACTTGGCATCTCTGAGGCAATTGTTTAGATAACTTTCTTATAGAGCTCCAGACCACTATGTGAGGGAATGGCAAAGCCAAAAGTAGGCTGAGTCACCCTACATCAATCAACAACTAAGATAATCCCTCAGAGGTATCTTTATAAGATAAACTAGTAAAGATATTCAATTGAGACTTCTTAGGGGATCCTATTTTGTGTCAATATGCCAGTTTGATAACTAGGACATTCTATTTGTCAACACAAACACTTCACTTAAAGCCATAATTTTTCTATTCCTTGTCCCTGAGCTGCCATTTTAAAATCATTACATAAAATACAATAAAAATTTCAAAATCCAATACTCTTGAAGATTTTAAGCAATTAAAAATTCAAGAACTCTTTCCAAATCAAAAGTCCCTTAACGTGAAGCTCTTGCAAAATAAAGAACAAGCAATATATATCTTACTCCAAAATGAAAGAAGTAAAGAATACAAAATAAATGAAAAATCTAGCAGCATAAATGCAAATAATGTAGCTCCATGTTCAGCATCTGGGACTCACTCACTGTGTAGTTGTCTAGTTCCAAAAAGTTTGTGCAGGTCCATTTTCTAGTTCTGCCATTTACAAGAAACACAATATGTCTCGTATTCTCTATCACTTGTAGCAAATACAGTTTGTTGCATAGACTCAGGCTGTCTGTCCTCCATACCTGCCTTTGTCCTTGAAACCATCTGGTGGCTGGCACTGTCATTTTTGATATGCTAGGGAGCATGATGAAAGAGGAGTGTCTTTGTTAAGATTTCTATTTGCTGTGAAGAGTCACCATGACTATGGCAACTCTGACAAAGGA